CGTGAGCCCCGGGCTGTCCGGCGGGCGTGGCTGCTGCGCGCCGGGGCTAAAATTTAATCTTGATACTAAGAATGAAATACACAGAAGAAATAAGAAAGTCTAAGAGATGTGTGGCTATATTCTGATCATTTTAATGTTTCATAAGGGATCTTCAAAAACTCATGGAAGATGCATTTTATGAGGAAACTATGCATAGGTTTTAAAAACTATGCATGAAAATAAATGCATACTTTAATTCCACTTCTTGAAGTTCCCTTGTATCTTTTGTTGAATTAGTAGAATCACAGTTCATATTTGCCTTATCTTCAGTCGTTATGGGGTTAGGTATATTTTGCCTATAAATCAGAATAGAAAAATTTATTACTTCTTTGAATATAAGGCTTTGGTTATTGTATAGGAAAATAATTAAACTCTTTTCCTCACCCATTTCAAGGTTCACAGTTGGCATCCCTAAACAAAGGACAGGTTGACAAGAGAAAAACAAGAAATTTCTTTTTTCTTTCTTTCTGTTTAAAATTTGATGTGCACAAGAGGAAGTGAGGGAGAGAGCGAGATAAGGTGAAAGAGAAAGAGAAAGCACGAGAGCACTCCCTGGGCCCTGGTCACGGTGCAAACCTTTTTTCTCCAATTCCTCCTGTCAGAAACCTGGACATGCTTGTACACTCTCCATGTGTTTTTCAAGCTGCTGGGGTTCAAACACAAACCCTTGTCGACCTCATGGGTTCTATCTTTCTCTACACTATGTTTAACCTGCACTACCAGGCTGGCCCATGTAACAAATTTATTTAATCCAAGTTTTATGTGATACTGGAACCATCAGAAGTGAAGACCCAAAGAACAAAGTGAAGACCCAAACAGTTTTTATGCTAATTCTGATAAAGAAAGTAGAAAGTTGTGGAGAAACATGACTGGATAAAAGGGTATGATCTAATAATAAAAACAAACTGGGGAGAAGTAGGGGGAACTTAGCCTATTTGTTCATGTTCTTCTTGCCTCTGTGTTTAGTATAGGCCAGGACCCCTCTGACTTCCCTACTTTTAGTCGAGGGAGGTCAGAGAATTCCTTTATGACCATGCTTCACACAGAAAGGCAGGGGATGGTCAAAGTGACTTTTCCTTTTGAGGCCTTCCCAATCTCCTTCAGTTCAAAGTATTTTGGGGTAGGATTTTATGAACCTTGATATTATCCTTGGAGGTCTGCCTTAAATATCTCGGGATCTTAGCTTAGCTAAGCGTATGATGTTTATTAAACTTGTTTATACTTGCTTTCTCAATATATTCTAATATCCCCCATTACTCTCAAAATAAAATGAAAACTTTCACCAGATAAGTCCTTCTACATAGTTCCCTGCCTATTTCTATGACTTCATCTCTTGTCACTTTCTCCCTCAGTTATTCTCTCTCCAGATCGATCTTCTTGCTATTCTTTAAACACACCAAACTTGTTTCTGGTCAGGTACTTTGTACTCTCTGTTCCTTATACTTGGAACACTGTGTGTGTGTGTGTGTTTGTGTGTGTAACCAGAGAATATGTGAGCTCACCAGCATGCGTGCGAGAGAGATAAAGCATCCCCCCCCCCAATGAATCGTTGTTGCACTGCAATCCATTTTCCTCCACTTTCTCATCCCATCTCGATTTGGGGATGCAAAACATACATACATGCCCAGTTTGTTTTTCAAGTCACCAGGACCGGGATGCAAATTGTGGTCAGCCACGTCATGGGAGTCATGAGATCTAACTCTGTAGCTCTTAACTGCCACACTGTGGGGCTGTCCATTTCTCAAATAGTTTACATAGCCTGCACCTTCATTTCATTAAGGTCTCTGTTCAAATATCAACCCCTCAGAGAGGTCTTTCCATATTGTCTTACTTAAATTCACCTTTACTGAGAGGAAGACAAAACAATGTCCATTTTGTTATTGCTGTTTTCCTTTTCTTGGAAAAAGTGATGTGTTTATTTTAAAAATTGGGGTGACAGTATCCTTACTTTATATTTATTTTTTAAATAATTATGTTATTTTATTTATTTATTTTTAATTTGATGATAGAGAGAGAAAAGAGAGGGAAAGTGAGAAAGCAAGCCACTAGGTCTGGGACTTGAACCGTGGTCGGCCATGTGGGAGTCCAGCACCTTTAACCACCATGTCGCCTGCTGGCCCCAGTATCCTTACTTTATTATATCAGAAGTTATATGCAGGTGGAGCATCCCTAATCCAAACATTTGAAATCTGAAATACTCCCAAATCTGAAACTTTCTGAGTGTCCACATGATGCCACCCACATGTGGAAACTTACACATGTGACCTCATGTTTTGGATCATAGAATGCTGAGATGTAAAAATATGGGTAAAATTGCCTTCAGGATTTGTGTATAAGGTGTATATGAATTTTGTGTTTACACCTGATCCTGTCTTCAAGATTTCTCATGTGTGTGCAAATATTCCAAAATTTGGAAGTATGGAAGACAGGCTGATTCCAATAATTTCAGATAAGGGAGATGCTACTGCAGCATATATCTAAAATACAATATGAGCTTTAGTTACTAGCTTTAAAAATCGTTGCTCCATCATTCTGTAAGATTGTTCTCAGCTTTATTTTTATATGTATTTTTTCCTTCTTTCTTCCTTTTTTTATGTTTTTAAAGAGATTTTTTGCCTTAGGCCATGTGCACTAGCTGGAGAGAGAGACAGACAAACAGACAGTGAGAGGGAAAGTGAGAAATTGGGGGGTAGAGCGGTGGGGGAGATAACCACGCTGCAGACCATTCTCCTCCTAGGATCTTGGGCATGTGCATGCGCACACACGCCCAGCATGATTTTCAAGCCACCATGTGTAGGACTCGTACCGCAGTTGGCCGTGTGGGAATCTACTGAGGTAAACACTGTGACATGTGCTGGCCCCTCCTTATATACTTTTCAATACTCAAAAGTTTTTTATTTGTTTGTTTATTTATTGCTTTCTTCAGTAAAAATAAGTTCTGTAGAAGAACCACCTTGTGTTGTTCACTACTGTAAACATAGAACATGGAAAATGCACACCATATAGTATAGTTAGCATTTATTCTTGACAAGATAGCGAACTGAACACTGACTAATTAAGAAAATTAGAAGACTTCAGGAGCTTTACTTAACCAAGCACTTAAACTTACTAAGCTGTCTCAACAGTGTTGCTTAAACTGAAGTATTTCGTAAAGAGCATTGCCTTCTAAGAACTTTTTCTAAGTGGCTAGTCTATTGAGGATTGAACAGTGGTATTCCCACTGTCAGTTTTCAATTACCCCTATCTCCTGGGCTGTAGCCTGGGACAGAGAGGGAATAGAAGCAGCACACTTTGGTTGTTCTGATCCTCATCAATTAATGAATGATTAGCATTGCTTCCTGTACAGAAGTTTCTTCTAGCTAGCAATGATGGCATATTCAGAGAAATGGAAGTAATTACTCAAACAACTAAAAAAGTTTTAACTGCTTGCTTCAAGAAAGTGACAGCCTCAAGAAAGTGGCAGATGGTGTAATGGTTACATCTCTGGACTCCCAGGTCTGGACTCCCACGTCTGGACTACCACAGAGTCGACCACGTTCCAGTCCCAAAGTGGCAGATGTGAAACTCATGCTGGGAAAGTGTGCCCAAAATCCTGAGAGAAGAATGGAGGAGAAGGGATTGTAGGATGGCCACCCCCCTACCGCCCCGGGGCGGTGGGGGGGTGATTTCTCGCTTTTTGTCTATCTGTCTTTCTCTGTCTATCCAGCAAGCACTCACACCATATAGCAAAAATCTCTTAAAACAAAAAAAAGAAAAGAAAAAAAAGTGGCAAACATGGAGGAAGGAAAAGACTGATGAGTTTCGAAACAGTCTTTGTAAAAGTATTTGACTTTTTTTTAAAATTTATATATTTATTTTAATTTGCCAGAGGGTACATGTATTCATCAGAGAGACAGAGAAAGAGAGAGAGAAAGCATCCCATAATAGGGTGTACTCATGCTATAATCCCTTCTCTATTTCTTTTTTTTTTTTTTTTGGAGAGGTTTTTGCTATAGGGCGCGTGCGCTCGCCAGACAGAAACATAGAGACAGAAAGCGAGAAATCACCCCCCCCAGGGGAGATGGTCACGCCACAATCCCTTCTCCTCCTTTCTCCTCTTGGGATCTTGGGCACGCACGCACATGCACCTGGCATGAGTTTTAAGCCACTGGGTCCGGGACACGAACCGTGGTCGACTACATGGGAGTCCAGCGACATAGCCATTACGCTAACTGCTGGTTCCCTATTTGACTTGTTATACATTGTGCACATATATCTTTGATAGAAGCTTAAAGAAAAAAGAGAAAGAAATTAGTTTCGTAATGGAGGATGGTCACCAAAACAGTTATACTATTTAGACCTGGAGCAAGTTACTTAGCCTCTGTTCTTTAGTTTTCCTAATCTGTGCATGAAAATGATATTAATAACTACCTATTTTTTTTTTCTTTTTGGAGAGGTTTTTTTCGCTATAGGGCGCATATGCTCGCCAGACAGACAGAGAGAGACATAGAGACAGAAAGCGAGAAATCACCCTCCAGGGGGGATGGTCATGCTGCAATCCCTTCTCCTCCATTATCCTCTCGGGATCTTGGGCACGCACACACACGCGCCCAGCGTGAGTTTTAAGCCACCGGGTCCGGGACGCGAACCACAGTTGACTACGTGGGAGTCCAGCGACATAGCCATTAGGCTAACTGCCATTTCCCCCTAATTTTGTTTTTTAAAGGATTAATTGAAGTACTACATATAAATTATTTAACATGTTCTAAGTTATAAATGTTATTTTATCAATTATTTAGTTTTAAAATTTATATTATTGTCAAAATGAGAAAATCTTCTTAGTATATTAGTTTACTTTCCTATTTTAATAGGTTTTTGTTTTTTACCACTCAAGTAGAGACTGGTTTTGCAGTACAATTACATAATAACACAATTTTATCATACTTAGTAATAAATTCTATTGTGCTTTGGTTCTCTTTTTTTTTTTTTACTGAAATCAAAGTGTTTTCTATACTTGAACAGAATTATGTTTGAAGAATCTGAATGACTTATCATCTCTGGACTTGATAAAGATGGATGATGACGTTAATTTCAAACCAACTGGTAATTTTCCTATTATTGTTAGTAAATTTAACAATTGCTTACTTAAAACTAAATTAAAATTTTGTTCTTACCAGAATTTAGATGATGGTAGAGCTAAATTGTGATCTCAGGCTTTTTTTTTTTTTTTTTGGAGAGGTTTTTGCTATAGGGCACATGCGCTCGCCAGACAGAGAGAGACAGAAAGCGAGAAATCACCCCCCAGGGGGGATGGCCACACTCGCGCCCGGCATGAGTTTAAGCCACTGGGTCCGGGACTCGAACCACGGTCAACTACATGCGAGTCCAGCAGCATAAACATTACGCTAACTGCTGATCCTTATTATGGCAAATTTTAGCTGCAGATTGAAATGCTCAAATCTCTGAGTTGCTTAGACCTGATAACACTATGGCAGATATCCTTTGCCCATTCTTAAATAGTATTGAGCATTTGGATGATTACTTAGGCCCCTGTTAGAGACAAAAAATATATTTTTCTTCTACCCATGTTAGATTCACTGACTGGGGCCCCTGTAGCAATAGATGAACAGAGGAAAGAGTAATAACTTTTACATGACATAGAGCCTTCATAAGAAAATGAAAAACAAGGACCAGCAGTTAGTGTAATGGCTATGTCGCTGGACTCTCACATAGTCAACCGCGGTTCGCGTCCCGGACCCGGTGGCTTACACTCAGATTGGGTGCATGTGCGTGCATGCCCAAGATCCCGAGAGGAGAATGGAGGAGAAGGGATGTGGCGTGGCCATCCCCCCTGGGGGGGTGATTTCTCGCTTTCTATCTCTCTGTCTCTGTCTGGCGAGCACATGCGCCCTATAGCAAAAAACTATCCAAAAAAAGAAAGAAAAAAAAAAAGAAAATAAAAACAGTTGTACCAGAAAAATGGGGTGTGAGTGTGCATAGTAAACTGATTTCTGAGACAAGGAGAGTTCGCATAGACAAAGGCTTTGTTGTGGAAGACATCAACTAGGAGAGGGGTGGAGTCCAAGAGTTTTAAAGTGCTGTCTCCTTAACTGAGAGGAGAGCAAGTAAAGGCATGCAGGAATGTGGTGTGAGGGTTTGGGGTTGGCATCCAGGTGCTTCCCAGAAAAATTTCTATGATGTTATCTTTGATGGATGGTGCTGTTTTCTTAGTGCCAAGCAGTCACAAGGAGAGTCCAGAGCAAGATGTTATTGTCAGATTTGTTCTGGGTATAACTTTGTTGGAATGCCAAGAAAGTCTTCCCTTCTTCAGCAAAACCTGTAGCACATACATAGATGAGAGCCCTATTCTTTTATTTTGAAAAGATTTTTTTTTTGCCTTAGGTGACATGCACTCACCAGAGAGAGAGACAGTAAGAGGGAAATGACAAATCACCACCCCAGAGGGGAAGGGCCACACAACAATCCCTTCTCGTCCATCTCCTCCTGGGATTTTGGGCATGAACGCACACGCTCCCAGCATAAGTTTCAAGCCACTGGGTCCAGGACTCTAACCACAGTTGGCAAAGTGGGAGTCTAGAAACATAACCACTATGCCATCTACTCACCCCGCTACCCCTGTTCTTGAGAAACTATATTCCAATCTCCTCTTCCTTGTTATTTTGTGTATGTATGTGTGTTCATAAGGATTGAAATTCTTTGGAATATTTTTAGATAGCTTACAATTAAATCCAGTATCCTCTTAAGTGAATTACATTTCACAAATTACTCATTTCATCTCCCGAACTCCAACTATTGTGCTATTTCCAAAAGTTGATTTTTAAACTCCAATTTAATTTAAAAATATTACTCATTTTTGTTTTGTTTTGTTTTTGCTATAGGACATATGTACATGCTGAAGAGAGACAGAGAGAGAGAGAGAGAAGGAAAATAAGAAATCGACCCCCGGGGTGATGGCTATGTTGCAATCTCTTCTCCTTTATTCTCCTCTCAGGATTTTGGGCACACACACACAAATACAGCCTGTCTTTCAAACTGCCGGATCTAAGACTCAAATAGCACAATCAGCCATGTAGAATTGAGCCACCTTAACCACCACAAAACCTAGCCGACCCACTATATTTTTAAAACCATACTCCTTTTAGAATATTCTAAAGATAGTCTTTTTTTAACTATTTTGATAAATAGGTCTTGATTTTTCCAGACATCATAATAGCTTTATTTCCTTTCTAACAAGGTATATTAGTCATTTTAAAAACCTTTCTTAGTCCTTTTGGCCAGAACTGCCATTTTCTTTTCTTTTCTTTTTTTTTCTTTGGAGAGGTTTTTGCTATAGGGCGCGTGCGCTCGCCAAACAGAGAGAGACATAGAGACAGAAAGCAAGAAATCACCCCCTGGGGGGATGGTCACGCCACAATCCCTTCTCCTTCATTCTCCTCTTGGGATCTTGGGCACGCACGCACATGCGCCCCACGTGAGTTCTAAGCCCCCGGGTCTGGGATGCGATCCGCGGTCAACTACGTGGGAGTCCAGCGACATAGCCATTACGCTAACTGCTGGTTCGTAGAACCGCCATTTTCCAGTAATCCACAAAAATGACAAAAACAAAAGGAAAGAGGAGAGGCACCCAATATATGTTCTCTAGGCCTTTTTTTAAAAAAAAATTATTTATTCAATTTTTTATTTATTTTAATTTGACCAGAAAGAGATACACACACAGAGAGAGAGAGAGAGAGAGAGAAAGCAAGCCACCAGGTCTGGGACTTGAACCGTGATTGGCCATGTGGGAGTGTCCAGCACCTTAACCACCACGCCACCTGCTGGTCCCTATATGTTCTCTAGGCCTTTTAGAAATCATGGAGTGGTTCCTTTGGCAACATATATGTGAATCTACAAGAAAGGTGATGTTGTAGACATCAAGGAAATGGGTACTGTTCAAAAAGGAATGCCCCACATATGCTACCATGGCAAAACAGAGTCTACCACGTTACCCAGCATGCTGTTGGCATTGTTGTAAACAAACAAGTCAAAGGCAAGATTCTTCCCAAGAGAATTAATGTGCGTATTGAGCATATTAAGCTTTCTAAGAGCAGAAATAGTTTCCTAAAACATGTGAAAGAAAAAACAGAAAAAAGAAGTAAACCAAAGAGTAAGGTACTTGGGTTCTACTGAAGTGTCAGCCTGCTTACCCAGAGAAACACACTTTGTGAAAACCAATGGAAAAGAGCCTGAGCTTCTGGAACTCATTCTCTATAATTCATGGCATAATAGGTGTTAAAAATAAATAAACTCTGGTCTTAAAAAAAAAAAGAGAGAGAGAAAGAAAGACACCTTGGGACCAGCAGATGATGTGGTGATTAAGGCTCTAGATTTTTCTTTTTTTGGAGAGGTTTTTACTATAGGGCATGTGCGCTCACCAGACAGACACAGAGAGGCAGAAAGCGAGAAATCACCCCCCAGGGGAAATGGCCACACCGCAATCCTTTCTCCTCCGTTCTCCTCTCGGGATCTTGGGCACGCACACACATGCGCCCGGTGTGAGTTTTAAGCCACTGGGTCCAGGACGCGAACTGCGGTCAACTACATGGGAGTCCAGCGACATAGCCATTACACTAACTGCTGATCTCAGGCTCTGGGTTTTCTTGTGGCCAACCATGATTCAGAGATTGCAGCATGAACATCCTCCCTGGGAGATGACTTCTCACTTTCTACCTCTCTGTCTCTGATGAGAGCACATGCCCTGTGTCTAAAACCTAAAAAACAACTACAAAAAACCCTCTCGAGACCCTTTTTCTCAACTAGGCTGCCCCACACTGTTTTCTTAGATTTAATTATCTCTATATTTAATTTTGTCTTTATATATTATCATTAATTGGATTTTGTCCTTCAACTATTTTACATGAGATTATTTCCCTAACCTCGTAAGTTCTAGAGATTGTGTTTTCCACATTTTTTGGGGCATATCATTTGTAAAAGGTATCACTCTAGGTACAAAATAGATGCTAAGGGAATATTTGTTAAACTGATGAAACAGCAACATATTTTTCAGCTGAGGGGGAAATGTTCATTTTTCTATTTTTTTTTCTCACAGAGGCAGGAAGATTGATGGCTTGGTATTATATTACATTTGAAACAGTGAAGAAATTTTGTACAATCAGTGGAAAAGAAACTTTATCAGACCTGGTAAATTTTCACTAGAAAATAAATATATAATGAGATAGTGTAAGGTAAGAGTAGAGAAACAACTCATTTGTATATCTCATGTAATTTAACAATGAAGGAGCAGAAAGGGAAGCATTTCTGATCATTACACCTTTCTCAGAATACCTCTGATCGTGAGATATGGAATATTCCTCCTTAGAATATATTTTATTTTCAGTTGTAGCTCAGAAATAAAAAAAATTTATACACATTCTTAAAATAGGCATGGCAACTACCTTATATCTTATATAGTAATTCTGATTACTTTGGTGTGGTAATATGTAATACTGAGAAAGATTCCAAAACAATGTAGTACAGTATATTGGAAAGTCTGCCATGAGTGAAGGACAATAATTTTTAGCATACATGCAAGATATCTGCAACTTCTTCCCCAATTCTTTTGCATTGTAATAGCAGTAACAATAGAAATAGAATAGTATTAGCAATAGGCTGGGGGAAAAAAAGACTGTGGACAAAATGGGAGTCATAATAGGTTATGCTAAAATACCAATAGTGGGGGCAGTTTTGCAGCTACAGCAGTGAACAGAGCCATAGGGATATTAACTGCATGGTTCTTTCTCCCTTTCCTAGAGACATGAATATGAGACAGGTATTTATAAAAGAAAATGTTTTTCTCTCCAACTTAAACCATTCATTTTTGTTTAAACTAAGTTAATTACTGTGATGATTGTACTGAAAAATGCACACAGAATTCCATTTATTATTAAAACGTCACATGAACAAAAATTTGTGAAAAATACGAAGTTTTGATGTATTTTCTTGTAAATTAGGATTACAAAATGTGCAATATTAACACTAACAGATTTGATCTTGAGTTTAGCGAATGTATAAGAGAATTACAACTAGTATTAGTTTCAAATTATAGATGCAGGAGACCAAAGCAGAGTGTGCTTTTGCCCAGTCACCTGGCAGAACGAGGCTCTAGCATCCAAATTTCTTAAAATCTATAGCATTCTCTCCTAAATTAGCTTCAATTGGGATAATGATTGGCAAACTAGAATGATGAGTAATACAAAGATCTTCAAAAAGTTTTTTGATAATGTATATTATGAAAAATTATGCATAGATTTATTTTTTTTATTTTTGGTACCAAAATAAACTTGTACTTTAATTCCATTTCCAACAAAGTTTTCAAAGTCTCTTTGTGGTAACAATAGTAGAAGTAATAACAAAAGCAACGGTTATTAAATGCTTATTATTATGTGGTAAGAACTGAGCTAAATGTTTTAAATTTTATCATGTTAATCTTCACAGTTTTATTAGTATAGAACAGTGTCTAACATAATGTCTGAGTTTTATAAGCATTTTTAGTGAATGAATGAATCCTTAAACAAGCACAAATGTATAAAGCAGCCTTTTTCCTGTTATGTTAATTGATAAAATCACAATGGCTCAAAGTAGTATGAAAAATAAATAATTTTGAAAAAAAGGATGAGAGAAAAGAAGTAAAAAATGGACTTCACTAAATGAACAAATGCTGAAATTTTATAGGTTTCAATGATAGCCAACTGCAAGGAATTTCTAGATGTGCAGTTAAGGACAAGTGAAAAGAAAACACTGAATACTTTGAACAAAGATCCAAATCGAGTAACTATCAGGTGAAAAAGTTACATATGTTTAAATAAGTTTTAAGACATTTTAGTTAAAATGAATAATAAGTTTTGCCATATGTTTTTATTTATAGATTTCCAATGGAAGGAAGAATTAAAACAAGAGAGATGAAAGTAAATTGGTAAAGATAATTTTTTTTATATGTGATACCATCTGTGTGCACATTAGAGAGAAATAGACAGATTAGAGAGAGAATACCACTCACCCCAATAGGACCTGGTCATGCCACAATGTTTCTTTCTCCAGTTCTCCATCCTGTCAGGTCCTGAACACACATGCTCATGCTGTTCTATTCACTGGGGCTGGGATTTGAACTTTAGTCAGCCATGTAAGATCTAGCATCCTCTGCAAGGTTTGACTACTGCACGAACAAGCCGGTCAAAATAATTATTTTTAAGTCTGAAAATACTGACTACTGGTTCATGATTTATATTTATGAAGTTTTTCTTTTTCTATTTTAAAACATATTTTTAAATTTGTCTTTTTAATATAAAAGATAACATGTTTATATAAAAATAAGAAGTCAGAGTGTAAAATTAATTTCCAAGAACTCTCAGACTTTAATTAAAATAGATTATTTTTGATTTTTTTAAATTAATAAATGTTTATTGAAAGTGTGTAGTGTTGGGATGAGGTGGACCATAGAAGACATGCTTCTTATGGTTCTCATAGGAGCTTTCAAGTCAATTTGAATAAGAACCATATATAGGGGGACCAGCAGTTAGCGTAATGGCTATGTCGCTGGACTCCCATGTAGTGGACCACAGTTTGAGTCCTGGACCCGGTGGCTTAAACTCACGCCAGGTGCGTGTGCATGCATGCCCAAGATCCCAAGAGGAGAATGGAGGAGAAGGGATTGCGGCATGGCCATGCCCCTTGGGGGATGATTTCTTGCTTTCTGTCTCTCTGTCTTTCTCTGTCTGTCTGGTGAGCGCACGTGCCCTATAGCAAAAACCTCTCCAAAAAAAAGAAAAAAAAATAAGAACCATATATATAAAAATTTAAAAATATAAAATATATAAATATAAAAATAAAAATATAAAAACACATACATTAAATGTTGTAGCATTTCAGGAAAGACAAATAGGGAAAACAAAAACATGAGTGAAGGAATATGTATATGGTAGTAGATGATTATTCTGCCAACAGTGAGATGTTCGTATAGAGAAGTAGAAATGGAGAGGGTATATGAAGTTTATACTGCAACTTGTGGTAACTTTTATCCAACTTGCAGTCACAAATGCAATAATATTCTTTTCTACTATGCTAAGTGCTTGGTTTCTTGAGGACTTAGGCCTTAGTGCTACAAGATTTTGGTTTAAATGATGTAATTTAAGGTGAAATGTTTGTTTTTTTTTTTTTTTTTATGTGGGTCAATAAAAGGAGTAGCTTTTTCCTTCTTAGCAGGTGAAGGTAATTTTTTTCGCCCAAGTCCCTTGATTTCTACAAACCAATTTTCTCATTTTCATATACAATTTATCAGGCAAATCTGTAGCTTGGGCCATGGAAGTTAATGTTCTGTTTCTTCTCTGTATTTCTCTAAAAGTTCAGATATACTTAGAGATCATAGAGAATTTAGAAATTATATAACCTAATTTCGTCTTATAAAGGAGGCTGGTAATACCAAGGTAAGTTGTAATTTGGCCAAGGTTATGTTGCTATATGGAAGACTGAGTTATAACTAAAACCTAGATCTCCTGATTCTTACAATGTTTTTTTTCTGTTATACTCTGTTTCATCAAGTCAAATTAAATAGTTATTTTTTTCATAAGCATCTTTTTATTAAAGATTTATTTAATTTTGTTTTATATATATGTGTGTGTGTGTGTATTTTAATTTGCTGCAGGACTCATGTGCTCACGAGAGAGAGAGAGAGAGAGAGAGAGAGAGAGAGAGAGAAATTGAGAAAGCAAGATGCCAGGTCTCAGACTCAAACCGTGGTTGGCTATGTGGGAGACCAGTGCCTTAACCACCACACCACCTACTGCTCCCCCCACCCCATAAGCACCTTATGAACACTTTATTTCTAATTTCAATGCTTCTATTAACCTTGCCTTAAATTGAGTAATACATTTTGATTAGGGTTTTCAGATTTAAAAGTTGATGAATTTGTAATTGATTTACACATATTATAAGAAAGTACCCCATTATTTCCTACCTTTGTGCATCTTATTTGAGCATAGCCAGGAAAAAAGAGAGTGTCTGTCTGTGGTGGGTTGTTTCTTAATCCAGACTTTATAGTTTTTTGGTAGGTGATGATGCTTAATAGTTACCACTTTCATGAATCACTCATATCCATTTTACTTTGCTGAATTTCAGATCTGTGCTTCTCTAAGTAGATGTTAATCCTCTCCATTTTAAGATTTTATCCTTCAGGCTGGCTCTGTAACCTAATGGTTAAGGGAGCCAAGTCCAACATGGCTAACTGCAGTTTGAATCCCAACCCTGGTGGCTTGAAAAGCATGCTGGACTCGTGTGTTTGTGTGCCCCAAATCCTGACAGGATGGAAAAATGGAGAAGGCACTGTACTGTGACCACACACCAATGGGGAGTGCTTTCTCCCTCTTTCCGTCTCTTTGGTTCTCTTTTCTAAGTGTGTGCCTTCTAGCAATTAAAACAAATAAAAAATATTTATGTTTGAAGTTTCTGCCCTTTTAATTTTTAAAACAATTTTGTTATCAGATTTTTTTAAAGAATTATTTTTTTATTATCTTTATTTTTCAATTTTGACCAGAGAAAGACAGAGAAAGAGAGAGTGAGAGTGCGCAAGCCAAGGTCCGAGACTCAAACCAAGGTCAATCATGTGGGAGTCCAGTGCCCCTAACCACCATGCCTCCTGCCGGCCCCTCTGCCTTTTTAATTTAAGATCATATTTTATTTGTCATAGCTTTAATTCCAAGGTCTCCCCTCTTCAGGTCTAACTCTGTCTTCAACTGGTATTTTTTTAAATTTTATTTACTACTATTATTATTATTATTATTTTATAGAATGGGTGTGCTCACCAGAGAGAAAGAGAGAGAGAAAGTGAGAAAGTAAGACACCAGGTCCAGGACTCAAACTGTAACCAGCTCTGCGGGAGTCCAGTACCCCAACCACCACACCACCTGCTGGCCTCTTTAACATATTTTTCAATGAACTCATAGGATATGATACAAAGCCACTATACTAAGCACTTGATTGCCAAACCCTGACTTTCTTTCATATGAGAGAATAAAACCTCTGTGTTAAACCAATATGGTTTGGTCACAGTTAAATTTGTTATTAGCTGAATCAGTACCTTATCTTATTTAATCTTTATGTAAGTAACCCTGATTTAGTCTTAGAGAAAGAGGGAAAATACCATACCCAAATCCCTTCTCCTCCAAATTTCTCCTGGGATTTTGGCCATGCACATATGTGCATCTGGTGTGATTTCTAAGTCACCAGGTCTGTGACTTGAACCATGGCTGCCCATGTAGGAATCCAGTGCCTTAATCACCAGCAGCCTGCTAGCCTAAGAAGAAATAAGAGTTTTGAAAATGAGAAATTAAATGGGGCCAGCCAGTAACATGGTGGTTAAAGCGATTGCATTCCACATGTCTGACTATGAAGTACCAGTCCTGAACCTAGCACCTTGAAAAACACACTGGACATGTGTACATGCCCAAAAATCTTCAAAGGAGGGAGAAATAGAGAAGGGATTGCAGCGTGCCCATCCCTTGTGGGGTGCTTTCTCTCTCTCTCTTTCTTTCTTTGGATCTCTGTAGTGAGTGCATTTATGTTCTAGCAAATTAAAAAAAAAAAAAAAAAGAGGATCAGCAGGTGTTATGGAAGTTAAGAGAGCTGGATCCCACATGGCCGAATACACATCCCCCAGAGGGTGACTTCTCATGCTCTCTCTCTTCAGCAAACACATGTGCGCTATAGCAAAAATTTAAAAAGAGAGATTGAGATTGAATGAATAGTGAAGTATAAAAAAGTGAATGAACTTTTAGAAGTTAGGGAAGGGTTGGGACCAGCACATAGCCTAGCGGTTATGTTGCTGGACTCCCATGTAGATGACCACGGTTCAAGTCTTATACTTGGTGGCTTAAAACTCACTCTAGGCACATGTGTGTGCGTGCCCAAAATCCCAAGAGGAGAATGGGTGGCATGGTCATCCCCTCTGTGGGGATGATTTCTCGCTTTCTGTCTCTCTGTGTCTCTGACAAGCACACACTCTACAGCAAAAATCTCTCTCTCAATAAAATAAATAAATAAAAGTTAGGGAACGGTAGTCAATAATGATTTCCTACACTAACGATGCAAGATATAGGTTCCATGTGATATCAGACATACTAAGGCAGAGAGAAATTTTAAGAAATATTTCAGTCAGTGATATCAATTACTTTAAGATAGTAACTTCTAAAATGAAATAATGAAATTTCTTCTTTCCCTCAGTCTTATTCAGGCTCAGCTAGGATGCATTCCCATACAAGACTTTGCTTTGACACAAGATACTGCAAAGATTTTCAGAAGTGGCTCACGAATTACAAGATGTATGTTACACAATCATGGATTTTCAATATATTTTTTAGTAATCTAGCCTATTAGATTTAATATTGAATTTATTTATTTTTCAGGGTTGTCAGAGTTTGTGGCTACTCAAGAAAAGAAGTTCAATGTATTATTAAATAGTTTGATTTTAGCTAAATGTTTTAGATGTAAACTTTGGGAAAACTCTCTGCATGTATCCAAACAGCTGGAAAAAATTGGTAGGTACTGGATATAGGTAAGCAGTTTGGCAATGCCTGCAATTTAATCTGTATTGTACTCTTAGGAAAATTATTCTATGCTATTGTATTATAGATCTTTAAGAGAAATACATGTCTCTATGCCTTAATAAGGTACTATGCTTTTGAAAATCTGATTATCATTTACTACTGCTTTAAGAATTTCATTTGGAAAAAAAAAAGAATTTTATTTGAAGTCAACTTTGAACAGCTCATGTGAAAGCTAATAAAAATATTCTCACTTCAAAATTTGTTCTTACACCAAGAGAGAAATTTTGCTTCCGTAATTAGGTAAAACTAAATGATGTTTTTCTCTTCTCTTTTATGACTAATGTTTCGTTTTGATCTCAATGACAAGACAGTTACTGGTTGTTCTTAAATTCATTCCAGAAAAGTCATGTCACTTATTTATATCTTTTAGTTGTTTCTAATTGTCAGAGGGTCTGTGTTCCCCTCAATGGGGCATTGTTATATGGCAAAGCTTTTTTCTGTATTTCCTCATCCCTTCAGGATTTGGGGCATATACACATACGCACTTGGTGTGCTTTTCAAGCTGTCATGGACAGGATTCCAGCTGCAGTCAGCTCTGTGGACTCCAGCTCCCTATGCACAGTGTTTATCTGCTATGCTGTGGGACTGACCCTATACCTTAACCTTTTCTCAGTTTTCAATAGCAATAGGATATTCATATTGGTATTCATAGAGATTCTGTAGAGAAAAAGTTGTGCCTGAATTTTTGTTATCTGTTGGAACCTACGGTAGGATGTACACTGAAAAACTTTTAGGGAGTATCTTTATAAAGACTGGAACTCTGGAATTTCCTAGTTTGCTATCTTTGACTTACTGATTCTACTCCTTCCCAGATATCTTTGATTCTAGAAAGAGCTGTTATCCCATCACTGTCAACTTTGTTAACTTTACAACTTTTATATTAATTTTGAGGACATTAAAAAATTATGTAATGGAAAAAATATGTAATGGGTCTTTAGGAATTGTCCTATTATTCTGTTGAATAAAGATCTCCAATCATTTTGTGAGGAAGTCCTACTTTTTTATTTTGGGAGAGTTTGGTTTTTTTTGTTTTTTTTTGTTTTTTTTTTTTTGTTTTTTTTTTTTGCTATAGGGCATGTACACTCACCAGAAAGACACAGAGAGACAGAAAGCTAAAACCCCCCCCCCCCCTCCTCCAGGGGGGATAGCCACACCGCAATCCCTTCTCCTCCATTTTCCTCTCAGGATTTTGGGCACGCACGCACACGCACCGAGTGTGAGTTTAAGCCACCGGGTCTGGAACTCGAACCACGGTTGACTTCATGGGAGTCCAGCAACATAGCCATTACGCTAACTGCTGGTCCCAGCCCTACTTCTGATTTTCTTAAAATTTGAAATCAGTGGAGTAGCAGAGGACTAATCAAGAAGTCCTGGCCTCCGAGATGAAGATGGAAATTGGGTGCTAAAAATAACATCAAAATAGGACCAGCAGATGGCATAATGGCTTTGTCATTGGACTCCCATGTAGTCGACCACGGTTTGAGTCCTGGACCTGTTGGCTTAAACTCATGTTGGGAGTGTGTGCATGCATGCATGCCCAAGATCCCAAGAGGAGAGTACAGAGAAGGGATTGTGGAGTGACCATCCCCTATGGGGGGGTTGAGTTCTCACTTTCTGTCTCTCTGTCTCTCTCTGTCTTTCTGGTGAGTGCACTCGCCCTATAGCAAAATCCTCTCCAAATAAATAAATAATAACATCAAAATAGGAGAGAGATTTCTGGTGGAAAAATCCTCCTTCCCACAGAAATCCTGCAAATCAAATGCCACACCCATTACTCAAGGGCAAGGATTCTAAATTGGGCAAGAGGTTCTATACACTTAGAAAACAGCAACTTACAGAACATATACTAATTGTCCACATTTGTGAGAGTACAAGGTGATTTTGCAGTACAGGAATACAATGTGTAGTTACCAATTCAGGATAATTATCATACCTTTCTTCTCAATCATTTGTCATTATTTGTGTTGGGAACTTTCAAAATCCTCTTTTAGTTACTTTGAGAATACAGCAAGTTATTGTTATTAATGTTCTCCCCACTGTATCATGGCACTATAAATTACATCTCCTATCTATCTGCAATTTTATTTTCATTAATCAACATCTTTCTATCCTTATCCCCATACTTCCCAATCTCTAGCAGTCATTCTTCATTCCTATACCTTGATGAGAACTTTATTTTTTCAATTTCTACATATGAAGGAGAACAAGTGGTATTTCTCTTTCTGTGCATGACTTATTTCACTTAACATAAGGTCTTCTAGGCTTGCCCATTTGACATTAAATGACAAGATATTATCTTTTTTAATGGCTAAGCAGTATTACTTTATACCGCATTTCTTTTATCTCCGCTTGTCAATTGATAGACACTGGTGGTTTCTATGTCTTGGTTATTGTGAATAGTGCTGTATTAAACATTGGGGTACAGATGTCTTTGTAACATGCTGACTTACTGTACTTTGGGTATATACCTACTAGTGGGATTGCTAGATCATATGGAAGTTCTGTTTTAGTTTTTTGAGGAATTTTTCTCTCCATCCTTACTAGCAGTTTTTTTTTTTTTTTGTCTTTTTGATAATAGCCATTCTAACTGGATGAAATGGTATCTCAATATGGTTTGATTTACATTTCCCTAGTGATTAGTTATATTGAGTGTTTTTTCATCTTTGTTTGCCATTTGTCAGTCTTTTTTTGAGAATTGTTTATTCTGTTTATTTGCTTGTTTTAAAATTGTGTTATTTGTCATTTTTCTACTGAATTGAATTTCTTGTATATTTTGGTTATTCATACCTTGTCAAATAAATTTTGCAGATATTTCCTTCCAATCTGTTTATTCTTATCACTCTAATGACTGTTTCCTTTGCAAATTACAGAAAATTTTGAAGTTAAGTGATTACAAATGTAATAAAATAATAATCACCATTTTATTTGAAGAACATAGTGTTTCTGACTTTCTAGAATATTGTCAGTATGAGTATCCATTGCATTCTGTTCCTTTCAGATTGTAGAACACTAACTTGTGTTTCAGTAAATCAGTACAGCCATATAGAAAGTAGCAAATGCTACCCAGGGGGAAAAATCATAATAGGAAAGTAAAAGAATCCAAGCCAAAAAAAAACAAAATCTAGCATTGAGCATTATGGAAAAAAAAAATACAAATTGATTTTCTTTTTATAAAAGTTTTTAAAAATTTTTTAGGATTTTGCTATGGGGCATATGCACTTGCTGGAGAGAGAGAGAAATAGAGGGAAAGCAAGAAATCATTCCCTGGGGGAATGACCATGCTCCAATTCCTTTTCCTCCATTCTCTCGAAATTCTGGGCATGCACAGACATGCACCCAGCGTGTGATTTTCAAGTTGCTGGGTCCAGGACTCAAATTGTGGTTAGCCATGTGGGAATCCAATGTCTCGACCACTGTTTCACCTGCTGGCCCCCTACAAATTGATTTTCAACAGTGACTATAAAATATTAAGTTAAAAGTCACAAAAAAAATTTGAGGAGAAATGGAAATAAACTTTAAGGAATTCTGTGTACTAGAGATATCTTTAAAATAAATAAGAAAAATTTCCAAGAATAAAGATATAGGTAAGAAATAGGATGTTATACCATATGTGCCTTCGACAAGTTGGTAATATTTGGGACATTTATACTTTTGACAATATCTTCTACTTGGAAATTTGGATAAACTTATTCATGAAAAAATGTAAAATTCCAGCCTCTGAAAACATAAGGAAACAGAAAAGGTCAAAAGATGAAAATGAACTTGATGTATTTAAGGAACAAAATAAAAGCAGTGTGACTGGAAGGTAGTCAGCAAGAGGAGAGTTGTTGAAAATTAGATGGGAGAGATAGGCTGTGGTCAAGTCATAATGATAAAAGAACTTGGCCACAGTTAGGAAATTACCACTTTATTCTAATGCAATGGAAAGGACTTGGAAGTTTCAGGCAGAAGAGTAAAATGATCTAATTTAAATTTTTTTTTCTATTTATCTAAGACAACATTGCTCAGTCTTAGTTTTATGAAGCAGTATTGTCATCTCTGAGTCATGTTGCCTTCCTTTTAGAATTATTTTATTTAACTTTATTTATTTATTTTAATTTAGCTATAGAAGGACAGAGTGAGAGAGACGGAAAGTGAGAAAGCAAGCCACCAGGTTTGGGACTTGAACCACAGTCGGCCATGTGGGAGTCCAGTGACCTTAACCACCACACCACCTGCTGGCCCCATGTTATCTTTCTTTTAAACATGAGTATATGTTTCTTACTGTTTGCTGTATGGATAGCACATAATCAAAACTTAAAAGCTGAATCATCCTGTGGACTAGAATGAGTTTCTCTCTTTTATTAAACAAATGCATATTTTACTTCAGTTTGAAAAAACAAATATGACTAATTGAATAATGTCACAACCAAATAATCCAAATAAAAACTTTTGCATTTTATTATTTTTTATATTATTTATTTTGTCCCACCTACTCCCACTCTCCTGGTATCTGTAATTGCTTTCCATTCTTTTTTTTTTTTTCTCCCACATTTTATTGGTTAACAAAATATCTTAATTGATCTAACTACTTTCAATATCAAGTTCAACTAATATATCAATATCTGTGTGCAAATATTTGGCTATAGGCACAAAATTGTGGGTAGAATGAATATACTATAAAATAGCACCTAGCTGAGAAGATATAGCTTACTGTGGTCACTAAATAGGAATTTTTAATATGTTTTTTTAATTTCAAAAAAGGCAATTTTAGCTTTAATAAATCAAATTTTAAAAAATGTTGAGAGAACTTTGCTTAAGACTTAAAGCCAGGAAGCAGATTAGGATTCTGTTCAAATAGTAGTTGCCTAGATCTGTTGACAATTCAAGAGAAGAAAAAAATCCTTATCTCTGGACTACAAAGCATAGGAAAAGATCAATATTGTTTTAGTCAAAAGCCATAAAATTCTGTTTCATCAGCTTAGTTTCATGCGCCCTAATCTAACCTCTATTGTGATCCAAGCTTTCCGTTTAAATTCTGGAAGATAATGCTCAACTCTGGGTTTGTTCCTACCATTAAGCTGGCCCTTTTCTTATTTCTGTGTGTCTGACTTTAGTTTTCCTGATATAACACTCTCTTCAGAACTTCTTGGAGAACTGGTCTGGTGTTGATATATTCTTTCAGCTTTTGTTTATCTGAGAATGTTCTTGCCTTCTCTTCCCATAAGAAGGATAATCTTGCTGGGTATAGTATTCTTAATTGAAATTGTTTTTCACTAAACATTTGGAATATATTTTCCCATTCTTTCCTGGCTCGCATTGTTTCTGATGAGAGGTCTGCTGTTAGTCTAATGGAATATCCTTTGTAGGTAACTTGTCATTTCTCTCTTGCCAGTCTTAGCACCTTGCCTTTCTCTATGGTTTTGGTCAATCTGGCTTTCATGTGTCTTTGAGAAGATCTTCGGTTGATTCTATTTGGGGTCCTGTGTATTTCTTGGGTCCGGATCTTTGAATGCCTCTCTAGGTTTGAAAAGTTTTCTTGTAGGATTTCATGGAATAGATTATCAATGTCTTTATTAGTCTCTTCACCTTCTGGGATACCAATTATCCAGATTTTTGGACCTTTGATGGTATCTAGTATTTCTCATATATTATTCTCATTTTTGGTCTATTTTCTCATTCTTTGTGTTGGAATTTTTTTCAGGCCAGTGATTCTGTTTTCTACATCTGAGTTTCAATCTTCTGTATGATCTAGTCTGCTTTTAATACTTTCAAGGGAGGTTTTGATTTCCTGTATTATAGCCTTCATCTCTAACAGTTCTGTTTGATTCTTTTTTATGGTGTGTATTTCCTCTTTAAGATCATGCAAGAACTTCCTCACCTCCTGGAACTCCTCAGCTCTATTCTCCTGCTTCTTCTGGAGTTCATTGTCTCTCTTCTCTTGTGTCTCTGTTAACTTTGTCACTATGAATATTCTAAATTCTTTATTAGACATTTTCATGATTTCCACTGAACTGTCTGTGGATGAAGAGGAGTTATTCTTTTCCCCTGGAGGAGAGGTATTATCTTGCTTTCCCATATTTCTTGTGACCCTGCAGTGATTTCTAGTCATCTGATGGATGGTGGGTTTCTTCCTAATTCTTGAAATTCAATTTGAGTGTTCAAGAGCGTGCAGGAGGAGGTATTCTGCAATCTCTTTGCAGTTCTCTTTTTATCCCTTTGTGCAGCAAATTCAGTGGATATTGAGGAATATGTTAACCCTAATAGTATTTGGTTGTTTGGCTATGGTCCCCTTAGATTTGTCTAGACACTCAGTGAATGGAGATTGAGCAGCAAAGTGATGAGGTAAAAGAAAAAGAGGAAGAAAACAGAGAGAAAGAGAGAGGCAAAAATAAAACTAAGAAAGAGAGAGAAAAAGAAAAAAGAACAACCAAAAAATTTATTTTTTTCATTAAAAAGACAAAAAATAAAAACCACATAGCATGCGAGCACGCTGTGTGAAATGACTAGTTTTCAGCAGCAGTGGAGGAGTCTTCTGCCTCTCCTAGAGAGAAGGGGTAAAGGGGATTATTAGCAAAATAAAGGGGGATCTGAAAACCAAGAGAATACTTTACCTTAAAATGTTTTAAAAGGTAAAATTACCAAAAAATGAGAAGAGAGAGAGAGACAGGGAGAAGGATAGAGGGGTGCCCTACCACTTGAGACTGGGGCGGGGGGGCTGGAGGCTGAATTATCAGTAGAAAAATCTTCATTTCTCTTGTTCCCTGAAACAGCTAGTTCTCAGCAGCAATGGAGGAGTCTTCTGAAGGCCTGCCCCTTGCCTCTCTACTTAAGACTAGGGGGCTGAGGCTGAATTATCAGTAGAAAAATCTTTATTTCTCTTATTCCCTGAAATTACTAGTTCTCAGAAGCAATGGAGGAGTCTTCCCAAATAAAAACATTTTAAAATATCCTCGAAAATTGGTTATTTGACTGGATCTTTTAAGAAAAGTCTTTTACTAATGTAATTTTTCAATAATTATGTATAGACTTTGTTTAAAATGGCTTACTTAAAAATTGTTGTTTGATTAATTTTTCATAGGTATAACATTGTCAAATGCAATGGTAAATGCAGGTTTGACCTCCTTTAAGAAAATAGAAGAAACAGATGCACGAGAACTGGAACTGGTATTTAGTATAGACTTATTTGTAAATGTTACCTGAATTCTATCTAAATTCTAAAGCCTAACTTTCATATCTTTATTTTTAAATTATTTTCCTTTTCATAGTCATAGATATTTTAATTGATCAAGATTCTTGATGATAGGGAACCAGCAGTTAGCATAATGGCTATGTCGCTGGACTCCCACGTAGTCGACCACGGTTCGCGTCCCGGACCCGGTGGCTTAAAACTCACGCCGGGCACGTGTGCGTGTGTGCCCAAGATCCCGAGAGGAGAATGGAGGAGAAGGGATTGTGGCGTGACCATCCCCCCTGGGGGGTGATTTCCCGCTTTCTGTCTCTATGTCTCTCTCTGTCTGTCTGGCGAGTGCACACGCCCTATAGCAAAAAAAAACCTCTCCAAAAAAAGAGAAAAAAAGGGAAAAAAAAAGATTCTTGATGATAAACATTAAAACTATTGATTCTGGGACCAGCAGATGGTGTAGAGGTTATGGTGCTGGACTTCCACCTGGCTGACCACGGCTCCAGTCCCAGACCCAGTGGCTTGAAAATCACACCAGGCACATATGTGTGTGTGTCCAAGATTTTGGGAGGAGAATAGAGAGAAAGGATTATAGTGTGGCTATCTCTGGGGGATGATTTCTCACTTTCCCTTTTACTGTGTTTGTTTCTCTCCTTGTCTCAGTGAGTGCACATGCCCTAAGGCAAAAACCTCTTAAAAAAAAAAAAACTATTGGTTCTAAAAAATTAATAAAAGAATTTTAAGTGTTGTGGTAAGAATATAATGATATAAATGTTTTTAGATTTTAAATAGACATCCCCCCTTTGGAACCCAGATAAAAGAAACTGTAGTGCATCTACCAAAATATGAACTTGAAGTGGAACAGGTAAGTATTTTCTGTCTCTTAAATATTTTTTATGTTTTCAGAAATAAAAGTATACATAACTGGCTTCAAGTTGCGTATGAGAAGTAAGGTTATTTTAAAATACTTTTTATCCTTCTTTTTTAAAGATTGCAAGATATGGTGATACCATGGCGGAAATATTAGTGACTGTTATATTAAGAAACTTTGAACAGCTACAAACTAAAAGGACAGCTCCAGATTCTCACTATGTTACATTAATCATAGGTGATGCAGATAATCAAGTGGTTTTTAAACACAAAATTATGTAAGTGTGAAATTTCTGATTTTATTTCTAAGCATATACTAAAACATAAAAAATCTTTTGGAAAAAAGTACTAAGATCACTTTGGGATCAATTAAATTATAATTTCCTGAGACAATAATGGAGATCGTTTTTCTGTCAAAGAAGGTATTTGCATTGGGTCTGTTGTTTTAGATTGTTGTATTTAATATTCAAATAATCAAAGACAAAAGCCTATCAGAATTATCTGAAACAAGTGAATAGGTGAAGTTCAGAATTACTTTCTTATTTTACTACTTTTCTCTTGGTACTCATGGCCGTATTACTCTTTGGATACAGTCTTTCTACCACTCACCTCAAAATGTATTTTCTTTGTTTCTTTTCTTTTTCTTTTTTCTTTTTTCTTTTTTTTTTTTTTTACAGAGTGATTTTTGCTATAGAGTGAGATAGCTCGCTGTAGAGACAGAGAAACAGAAAGCAAGAAATCACCCCCCAGGGAGGATGACCATGCTGCAATCCCTCCTGCTGTATTCTCCTTTCAAAATCTTGGGCACACACACACACACACACACACACATATGTCTTGCATGAGTTTTAAGCCACTGTGTCCTGGACTTGAACCATGGTTGACGTAACCATTATTGACATCTGCTGGTTCCTCAAAATATGTTTTCTAATTCCAAATTAAAGTCTAACAAATTACTGTAGCTCCATTATAGGATCTAGGCAAACAGATCAAATACATAAAGGAGGTATCCTCCTTTTTACCTATTTTTCTAGCATGTCATTTTATAACTCATGTTTTAGTACTTTTCCTAATACTATTGTTTTCTCCCAGGATATCATAGACTATTATAGCTATAGCCAGTATTTTCTGAGCACTTAGTAGGTTTCAAGTATTGAATTATTTGATATTTGTACAAGACAGATGCTGTGATCATCTGCATTTTGAAGAGAAGGAAATTGAATAAAGAGAGTTTAATAAGTTTCGTATAACTAGTTAATAACAAAGACTAGATTTGAACACCAGCATTCTAACTCCAGAACCTATGTTCCTAACCATATTACTGTACTTGTAAATTCAGGACTACCAGTGACTCTGAAACAGGAATTTTCTAATTGTTGCCAATACCTTCCCAGAAAATCATAATGCAAAGTTCCTAAAAGCCCTGCAGTGACTGATAGTATATCCCTTTTTCTATTGATAACTGCTGTCCTGCAGTTAGCCACAGCATGCCTATAGAGAATATGCCATTGTACAAGTTTTTGTTATTGATGACTACTAAATCTAATGATAACTATGAGCATCTGAAAGTAAAATAAGTTTAATCATAAAATTGATGTTGTTGGTTTATGATGTTTTGGGAAATAAATTATTTATATCAATTTTAAAGATGTTATTAAAGTTGTTCTCTCAAGTATATGTAAGCTATATACAGTCAGTTTAAAGTAGCAGTGATTTAGGGACAAGTTCATGTGTTATGGATAGTAACTATCTATTCCAAGTGGTCCTGAAATGAGTCTATGCAACTCAGAATGAGCTGTCAGGTCAACATATAGTTAAGAAGAAAATTATGGTCAAGATAGCTCCTCTTGCCACTCACACACACATACAGCAACTATGTGAGATGAAATAATATGTTAATTTGCTTCACTATAGTAACCATTTTACTATTTATGTGTATCCCATACATCATATTGTACAACTTAAATATACACAATAAAATTTATTGCAAAGAAAAACAAGATAGCTCCATCGATATTTCATTCTCCATCCTCAGAATTTGGGGAAAGTAATTTTCAGCAATTGATTTCAGTTTACTACAATAAAGGAACTGTCTTAGGAATAATCATCCCTTGAAGATGGACATAGTATTTCATTTAGTGTCTGGGTTAGCATTTAAATTGTATATAACTATTTTTCAGGGATTCTGTTTTGCTAAGAGGTAGAACTTGGACTAAAAAGATTGATGTGAAGAGAGCTCTTAAATCCGAAGAACTTAATATAAATCTCATTAGTTCTGAATTTGGTAAGTTAATTGAAATAATGAATACATGAATACAAAGACTATAATAGCATTATTTCCTCTATGCTGATAAAGAAAAGCAATAAAAAATTATATTACTTAAGTATAGTATATTTAGACAATGTGAATACAATTTAAAGGAAGTTTCTTGTCTTTAGATATGTAAAACATAGCATGGACCAGGTAAAATAATTAAAATTTTGTGTCTTCAATTATAAATATTTAATTTTCCAAGATAGGTATATTTCTTTTTTTAAGAATTGTTTTATTTAACTTTATTTATTTATTTACTTATTTAAATATCACCATGAGAGGAACAGAGTGAGAGTGAGAGAGAGAGAGGGAGAGGGAAAGCAAGAAAGCAAGCCGCCAGGTCTGGGACCTGAACCACAGTCAGCCATGTGGGAGTCTAACACCCTTAACCACCATGCCACCTGCAGACCTGATAGTTATATTTCAATTATTGTAGGAACATTGGTTTTTATTTTTATGATGATAGTGTATACATTTTCATTTCTAATTTTCTTTAATACCTTTTAAAATATTTTAAAAAACATTTCTCCCTTGTGGCCAGCAGATGGTGTGGTGATTAAGGTGCTGAACTCCCACATGGCTGACCATGATTCCAGTCCTGGACTATGTGGCTTGCTCTTTTTTTTTCTCTCTCTCTCTCTCTCTCTCTCTCTCTCTCTCTGTCTCTTTCTCCCTGGTGAGCATATGTACCCTATGGCAAATTTTTTAAAATAATAATAATAATAACTAAAATTAAATAATTCTTTAAAAATTTTTTTTCCCTCAAAAGGCAGTGCGAGAGAAAGAGAATGAAAGAGAAAGACAAGAATCTCTAATAGGTTCACTATATCATGATCTACCCCTAGTGCCAGCCAGCTGGCAAATACAAGTATGCCTGATGTGTTCAGAGAGGTTTTGGGATCAAAAGAACTCAGGATTTAACTTGTGGATCTAGCTGTGATACTGAACACCACCACCTGGTCCTAAAGTATATTTTAATTTCCTGAAGTTCTTAGCTGTAGAAGTTATAAAAATATAAGAGATATTGGGCCAGCCAGTGGAGTGGTGGTTAAGGTCGTTGAATTCCATATGGTAGACTTCTTGGTTTGAGTCCTAGACCCAGCAGATTGAAAAATACTCTGGGCACAAGTGTGTACATGACCCAAATAGCAAGAGAATGGAAGAGAAGAGAGTGTGGTGTGGCCAACCCCCTGGGGGGTTCATTCTCATGCCAGCTCCCCCTACTCTCCAGCATGCATACATGTCCTAGAGCAAAATTTAAATTTACGTATATGATATAAAGAGGAATAAATGTATTTAAATAAACATTTTTTTTATATTCCAGTTGGACTTGATATTCAGCAGAAATTTACAGTCTTTTTCTTAGGACCCAAGAGATTTGGAAATCAAATAATAATGCAAAGAAAATCAGAAACAGAGATTTCACATTCTAAACATTCAGATAAATCTGCTGTAGCAGGACCAAATAAAGGTAAATGAGTGTAATAATTTCTATTTTATGTTAAAGCAAAGGTATGGTTAGGGAGAAGTATGAGTATTGTAGTGTTGCTATACTGTACTATCAAATTATGGATAGTCTGCAATGTGATATTTAGGTGTCATGATAATTGCATAAATAGTAAATAGTGGGGATACTCTCTTGTAGTTAATAATTGTCAGATTTGGGTGATATTTGATTACTTTTTGATATACATTTCCATATTCTAACTGTTTCATGCTTATGGCCATAGTTGGGAGAGAACAAATGATGTACAAGAATCTATGGATTTGTTGAGGCAAATCAGGATGAGAATAAATTATTTTTTTTTATTGTGGGAATTTTCAAACATGTACAAAAATAGATATATAATGAAACTTTCATGTACTCATTACCCATCTTAAAATTAACAACTCAAGGCTAATACTGTTTCATCTGTATCTCTCTTCAACTTTCCCTCTCCTCCCATATTTTGAAGCAAATCTCAGATAAGGATTATTTTTTTAAAAAATAAAGTTACAGGGACAAGTAGATGGCATAATGGTTACGTTGCTGGACTCCCATGTAGCTGACCGCAGTTTAAGGCCCAGACCCGGCGGCTTAAATCATGCTGGGCACGTGGGTGTGCATGCCCAAAATCCCAAGAGGAGAATGGAGGAGAAGGGACTATAGTGTGACCATCCCCCCAGGGAGTAATTTCTTGCTTCATTTCCTGTCTCTCTAGTGAGTGTACACACCCTATAGGAAAAATATCTAAAAATAAATAAACAAGTAAATAAATAAAACTACATTACATTGTTTTTATAAAAAATCCAGTAGAGTTAGTGTTTAAATTCCTGATTGTCTCATAAATGTTGTACACATGCCTTTTTTTTTTTTTGGAGAGGTTTTCTCTATAGGGCGCGTGTGCTCGACAGAAAGACAGAAAGACAGAGAGAGACAGAGAGATAGAAAGCAAGAAATCACCCCACCTGGGGGGATGGCCACGCCACAATCCCTTCTCCTCCATTCTCCTCTTCGGATCTTGGGCATGCATGCCTACGTGCCCAGCGTGAGTTTAAGCCGCCAGGTCCAGGACTTGAACTGCGGTCAACTACGTGGGAGTCCAGTGATATAGTCATTATGCTAACTGCTGGTCCCTAGACAGGCCATTTTAATACCATCTAGACATATCAGATTGGTTCTTAAGTTCTTTTGACTTGTTCCTAGTACATTTGACATCTTCCTTGCTGTGCAGGGCATTCTGTTGTTCTCAGTTCATCATTTATATTTCTAGCTTCAACTTGTAATACTCATTTTCTCTAAGAAGTCATGGTTTCTTTTAATGAAAGATGTTTTTTGAGGTTACAGTCTCTGTACTAGAGAAGGTTATTGATGTTGTGTGATCACATGAGGAGAAAAGAGAAAGAGAAAAGCATCCTTGATGGGGTCTTGTCACACCATGATCCCCTTTCCTCAGCCTTCTAGTTTCTCAGAATCTTGGGCATGCATTCACACAACTAGCATGTTTCAGGCCAACCTAGGCAATCTGAACCTGTAGTTGGCCTTGTTGCTTCTAGCACTGTAGTTGTCTGCTACTGACTATGCTTCCAGGCTGGATCCTATTTTTTTGTTTTGAAAGATAAGGTACTTCGTGAATTTATACAAACCAAAACCAGGGCTACAGGATTTATCCTAAAATTCATCTGTATCTCCTTTCTATCTTGCTGAGAATTTTGATTCTCAATGACTCCAAAATGATAGAATGCCGCCAGCTGGATACATATATATGTTTTATTTGTTTGTTTGTCTCATTTTATTTCATGTTATTAGGCATGATTTTTAAAAGTTAATTTTGCAGGGCTGACAAGTGGTATGGTGTTTAAGGTGCTAGACTCCCACATGACCAACTGTGGTTTGAGTCCTGGACCTGGCAGCTTGCTTTCTCACTTACCTTCTCTTTCTCTGGTGAGTGTATATCCTTTGACAAAAAAAAAAAAAAAATTAAGAAAAGAATGAAGAAACAAACAAACAAAATATGGCTGAGTACATTCCAAAATAGTGAAATACATCAACACAAATTAATTAATTCAGAATTTTAGCAAACCCCAAGCAGAGGTAAATACACAAAAACATGCTTCTGAGCATGTTGTAGCAAAATTACTATCTTTTTTTTTTCTTTTTCTTTTTAAGATTTTTGTCATAGGGTGTGTGTACTTGTTAGACAGAGATGAAGAGAGAAAAGTGAGAAGTTAACCCCCACCCCAGGGGTGATTGAAGTTAAGAACTAGTTGGGTAGATTTAACAATATATTGGATATAACCAAAGGGTTTATGAGCCATAAAACCTCTCAATAGAAAATATTCAAACTGAAACTCAGAGATAAGAGAATGGAAAGAGCACAAAAGAAAATAATACTTAAAAGACCCTCAGGGCGGTTGGCCATGCTGCAATCCCCTATCCTCTATTCTCCTCTCAGGATTTCGGGCATGCACACAGGTATGTCTGGCATGATTCTCAAGTCACTGGGTCTGAAACTTGAAGCAGAAGATTCTCCCACCTTACCCACCACACCCCCTACTGGCTGTACTTTTGATTTTTTTTTTTTTTTTGAGATTTTTGCCATAGGGCATGTGTCCTTGCCAGAGAGACAGAAAACAAGAAGTCACCCCACCCTGTGGGGTGGGGGTGACCACAATATCCCTTCTCCTCCATTTTCCTCTCAGGATTCTGGGAAAACACATACATGATCCTGGTCCAAGACTCGAACTACAGTCAGCCATGTGGGAGTCCAGCCCCTTAACCACCACGTCATCTGCTGGTCTCCATTTATATTTTCTAAGTAACATTTCTTTTTTTTATTTTTTTTTTTTTTTTTTTTTTTGAGAGGTTTTTGCTATAGGGTTCATGCGCTTGTCAGAAAGACAGAGAGACAGAAAGCGAGAAATAACAACCCTCCCCCCCCCCACCAGGAGGCGGGATGGCCATGCCACAATCTCTTCTTCTCCATTCTCCTCTCAGGATCTTGGGCATACACACACATGCACCCGGCATGAGTTTAAGCCACCGGGTTTGGGACTTGAATCGCAGTCGACTACATGGGAGTCCAGTGACATAGTCATTACGCCAGTTGCTGCTCCCCTAAGTACCATTTCTAACAGGAATATAGCACAAAGTTTTTGTCATTTATGTAATATTCATTTGCTGTTATTCTAAGCAAACTTGTGTTCGGTTATCATTCCTGATAAGACCTGTCAACTATACTTTAAAATTTGGAAGAACTCTTAAAATTTCTAATGTTAAACTCTCAGAGCATATTACTTAATTTTCACCACTAGGAGCAAATGTGTGCATTCATTGTCCACCATCTTGTGGCAGTGTGTAGAAATGCATCTTTTTAGAAGTGCTTGGATGAGGAGATAATGACTAAAGGATATAGAAACGCAGTAAATGGGTGTGAATACCAGATATAGTGTGTGTGAAAGAGGAGGGTCTGAGGAAGGACATTTAGAAGAAAAATAGAGAGGCAAAGCATTAATGAGACAAAGAAATGTGGTATTATCTGTTGAGAATATTTTATAGTTTTATCAACTGGACTAGGGAGAAATGTTCACATGTTGAAATATTCACTTTGTAAGCTAAATAATGTGATTGAATGTATAAAAGAAAATGAAATAAAAAATGTAAATTTAAAAAAAAGCAATTCCTTATCTCTTATAGCAAAGCAACAATTAGCAAGATCTTTCTTCCTAGTATTTTTACTCCAAAAGCAATAGGTTCCTGCTCTAAATAAATTAAATGAATCCTGGGACCAGCAGATAGCATAGTGGTTACGTCACTGCTGGGCGCCTGTGCGTACCCAAGATCTCAAAAGGAGAATGGAAGAGAAGGGATTGCATGTGGCCATCCACCCTGGGGAGTGATTTTCTGTCTCTCTGTCTCTCTGTCTCTCCGGCAAGTGCATGTGCCTTATAGCAAAAAATCTCTCTTGAAAATAAATAAAACTAATTAAATTAATACTTTGAGGAGAACTAAAGCATTTGGTAGAATTTGGAAGGCAAACTTGTTGAAAGATCAGTTTCTGGAATTAGATTACCTTAGTTAGGTCTTGGATTTGCTACTTTACTAATAACGCAGTCTATTTGACATATTACTTAACCTCTGTATGAATTAATTTTATCATATGTAAAGTGGAAATATAGGAGGACTACTTTATAGGCAGAAAGCTGAGGATGACCAGACATTTGAGAAAAATGTGGAGCACAGGAAAATCCAAAATAAACTAACAAAAAGTGGGTTAAACAGCCATAGGATAATTCAGGAATATAATGAAATTTTAATTAGTAACATCAGAGAAATTAAATATTAAGTGGCAACCATAAAATGGGATAAGATATCATTTTTAAAAAAAGAGCAGGCTTAGGGAAGTTAAAACTGAGTAAAAAAAAAAAAAAAAAAAAAAAAAAAAAAAAAAAAAAAAAAAAACCAAATAAACAAAAACCAGTAGGCTAGAAGATGAAGTCAGTACAATCTAAATGAAAGCAGAAAGCCAAGGAGCCAGAAACTATAAGAGGAGAGGAGGTCAATCTAGGAGCCTAATATCTGACTAATAAGTGTCCTGGAAAGAAAGGACAAACAAATCAGCAGAAATAATTTGGAAAAATCTTCTAGACCTGAAAATTTTCTAGGCCTAAGGCATTTAGCTGTATATCAAAAAGGCTAAACAAATACTATAGCCTGCAGCTACACCTGAAAGGGGAAAAATGAAAAGTCCATATTTTGCTGGAAGCAGAGATGAAGATGAAACTGTTGTAGCCTCATGCAAGATAGGAACCTCCTGCAAGGTAAAGAGGCAGATGAGAAAGGGCCTCTGACAGCCCCTCACAAGACTGCTGTTCGTACCACGTTCCAAGGAAGAGCATGGCATTCTGCCAGCAGTGGCTCTTTACCTGTGTGGTCTGTGTGGAGACGTAGGCTTGGGTGGAGCAGTTCTACATATGTGGCATAGATTGCTTTCTCTACCACTACAGTCTCATGCCTTCTCTTTTACTTGCTAAGCATAAGCTGCACAGTCCTTTAGTGTCTCCAATGTGCTGTCGTATGTGCCTTATAATAGAGCTTTAGCATATATCATCCCTCTGTCTAAAACACTCTTTATCCTACCTCTTTCTTAACTCACCATTTTTTCAGTCCTCAGCCCAATTGTTACTCCTTGGAGAAGTAACATCTTCCAAAACATTTATTGACCAAGACAGTTCCTTGTTATCACATTGCATGGTGTGCCCTTTCTTCACAGCACTCAGAACATTTTTAGTTTTATAGTTATTTATATAATTTTTAATGAATATAGTAGTAGAGATATACATCCATTAATATATTAGTTTATCACTTAACAATTTAAAATGCCTTTACAGAATTTCATTTTATATTTTTCTGTTAGGTAAACAGAACAGGTATTATTTAAACCCTTGTTTGTTTGTTGCAGATAGAGTCCATACGAGAATTCACGTGTGTGTGTTTATTTTTACTCTAATGTGTCCTGTACTTTGTGTTTTCCTATGACTTTTCTATAAATACATAAAATATAAGGCAACTTAGAGTAAGTGAGAGGCACAAAGAAAATACCATAGAGTCTCAGAGAAGAGAGAAATAAATTCAGATGTTCTATCAATAGATCTCTATGATAGAGATACTATTTGAGTTGGCCTTGAAAGTTGATAGTCTTCTGATAGACACAGAAGTGAAGGTTGTCTTCTTTTTAAAAAATAATTATTTAATTCCATTTGTTTTTGTTATTATTTTTTTAATTTGACCGGAGAGAGACAAAGAGAACACAAAAGAGAAAGTAAGCAAGCAAGCCTCGAGGTCCAGGACTCCAACCGTGGTGGGCCCTGTGGGAATCCAGCGTCATAGAAAGGCATGGAGACTATTTGAAGAATGGTAATCAAATATATTTTGATGGTTGTAGGGTTAATATGAGTGCTTGAAAGGGATACTAGAATTAGATGGTATAGGGCCTTGAATATGGAATTAAGTTTGGTGGAAGTAGGAAGTAACTAACATTTCTAAGTGGGCAAATGATTTGATAAGAGTTAAATTTTGGAAGATGAATTAAGCAACAATGTATAGAATAAATTGTACCAGTAAATTGGAGGACTGTTTCAAAGGAAACTGTTACAATGTAAGAGGTAATGAGATCTGACTTGGGGCAAAACTTTTCAACCAGAAATTCATGGCACATTTTACAAAGTGTAACACTAAGGCCATTCAGCCAAAGACCTTTCGGAACACACTTGCATTTGAGGAGAGTTAGGTTCATTTAATGTGCTGCAGTAAATGAGAGTGCACCAACAGAACTGTGATTCATCTTGGAGTTGGGAGAAGCTTATTATACAGGGTTTCAGCTTGTGCTGGGTGACTATTAAGAGGGTTTAGGGAAAGCAGATGCCACTTCAACAGTGAGTACTCTCAGAAAGTAAAATATTGACTATTTTGGTATATTTTATTTTGGAGGTGGGACAGTTAAAGAAATAGCAGTCATCTGTGTTAGCCAGAAGAGGGGGATGTTTTGTTATTTTTGTGGTTCTTGACTGTTTTTGTTTCTAGTTTAAAAAAATAACTACATAGTAGTTTTATCTCTGTCTTATAGCATAGTCACAGAGTAGCCTTATTTGAATATTGTTTATGTTGAAAACAGTGTGGTTAGCTGTCAGCTTCCAGCTGCTAGGAATTTTTTTAGTTTATTTGTACCCAATATTTTGATATACAAAGATCTCAAAGCAACCACTTAGTTGCTTCATATGGTGAAGTATATGAGTTATCCATTTATCTCAGGCTGATACACATATCCTGTATTATCATTGTCTAGATACACCATGACTAATAAAAAGTTGATTAAGGGGGCCAGCAGGTGGTGTTAAGGCACTAGACTCCCACATGGGGTACCACAGTTCAAATCCCAGACCTAGTGGCTTGCTTTCTTTCTCTCTTTATCTCTAATGAGTGTGCATGCCCTATAGCAAATTAATAATAATAATAATTAATAAAATTAAATAAATAATTATTAAAAGGTTGATTTAGGAATGACGTTGAAAATGAAGACTGAAGGACCAAGAAAGACTTTAAAGGTTTTCAGAGTTCCCCACTATTTCCAACATTTTCAGTTCACTTAAAATCTATGCTCTAGCAAAAAATAACTGATTCCTACAGAAGGTGATTTGCTGCGTTTGGATTTTATGCCTTTTACCTGGAATATCTCCCCTGTTCCCTTTCTTCTGTCCACATCCTGTCTATCCTTCAAGGGCCAATTCAAATATCTTACTACTGAGAGCTAAGACCACGAAAAAGCCTATCTAAAATAAAGTAAGTGAAGAAAAGTTAAGTAATTGGGTATATTAATTCTAGCTTAAAGGAGTAAAACTGGAAAAAATCTCTTCTTTTTATGAATTCATTTAGCATATTTCTTATATCCCTAATATATTTATTTCTAACATATATATTATGTTAAATCATTATATTAAATTAAATATATGTTGTATCCTATCTACTAACTGCTTTTAGTGATTGCATTTCTAACATATATATTATATTAAATAATTACATTATATTAAATATATGTGGTAACTGCTTTTAGTGGTGCCATCAAAACTAGAAAGATTTGCTATTTTCCAGGTTCTTCAGGCCTAAGAATTAAGCAGGAGGGAACCAGCAATTAGTGTAATGGCTATGTCGCTGGACTCCCACGTAGTCGACCACGGTTCGTGTCCTGGACCCGGTGGCTTAAAACTCACGCCGGGCGCGTGTGCGTGCGTGCCCAAGATCCCGAGAGGAGAATGGAGGAGAAGGGATTGCAGCGTGACCATCCCCCCTGGGGGGTGATTTCTCGCTTTCTGTCTCTATGTCTCTCTCTGTCTGTCTGGCGAGCGCACGCGCCCTACAGTGAAAATCTCTCAAAAAAAAAAAAAAAAAAGAATTAAGCAGGAGTATTGAAACTCTACCCTCATTCTTACCTCATCCAGCACTAAAGTGACTGATATGCTTCCATAGTGGCCCTGTTTATATAGGAAGGCTGAGAGAAGCTTATAGATAATTATATATTCCTTTGTAAAAAGCTAGAAATTGGGGCTAAGCATGGGGAAGGGACCAACTTATCAAAAATGACTTTTAAAAATTACATTTGAGGAAGTATGTTAGCATTTGAGGAAGTATGAAAACCATAATCTTTTTGTACTGTCTGAAAGAAAAGAGCCTGGATAAAAATTAATTATATTGAGCACACAATAATAGATTTAGCAGTAAGTTTGTTTTTCTTATATTATTTTAGGAATGACTGTCTGCAAAAAACCTGGAAACCGAGAATGCAACCATCATTGTAAAAATAAACAGACATGCGGACATGACTGCTGTGAGTGCCATGAAATAGGCATTAAAAATTGAAAGGTTGGGACCAGCAGACGGTGTAGTGGTTATGTCACTGGACTCCAACATAGCTGACCGCAGTTCAAGTTCCAGACCCGGTGGCTTCAAATTCACACAGGCGCATGTGCATGTGTGCCCAATATTCCAGGAAGAGAATGGAGAAGGGATTGTGGTCTGGCCATCCCCCCTAGGGGTTGATTTCTTGCTTTCTGTGTCTCTGGCAAGTGCACGCACCCTATAGCCAAAATCTCTTTCCTCCCCCCAACAAAAAAAGTTGGAAGATCTGGGACCAGCAAATGGTGAACTGGTTATGTCGCTGGACTCCCACATAGTCAACCATGTTTTGAATCCCAGACCCAGTCGCTTAAAACTCACACTGGGCGTGTGTGCACGTGTAGCCAAATTTTCAAGAAGAGAATGGAGGAGAAGGGATTGCGGCACAGCCATCTCTTCTGGGGGGTCATTTCTTGCCTTCTGTCTCTCTGCCTTTCTCTGTCTCTCCAGTGAGCGTACACTTCTATGGCAAAAATCTCTCTAAAAAAAAAAAAAAAAGAAAGGTCTTGAGGCTAGTAGGTGGTATTGTGATTAAGGTGCTGGATTCCTATGTGGCCAACAGTGGTTCGAGTCCTGAACCTGGGTGCTTGAAAATCATACTGGGTGTGAGTGCCCATAATCCCAGGAAGAGAATGGAGGAGAAGGTATTGCAGTGTGGCAAATCTCTCTTGAAGGGTGATTTCTCACTTTCCCTCTCTCTGTCTCTCTCTGATAAGTACACACACCCTATGGCAAAAACCTAAAATAAAAAAATAGGTCTTTGATGAATAGTAACTATATTCTAATAATATAATTGCCATTTTTACATTACAAACTTTTAACTCTTAAATAATGTTCTCTCTTTTATGGGCAATATGAAAAGAAAGCAAAGAGGGGCCTATTGGTGGTATGGTGGTTAAGGTGCTGGACTCCCACATGGCCAACAGTGGTCCAACTCTCGAATCTGGTGGCTTATTTCCTCACTTTCCCTCTGTTTCTCTCTGGTGAACACTCACCCCCTATAGCAAATTTTTAAAAAAGTAATAATAATCATAAATAGAATTAAATTTAAAATTATTTGAAAAAAAGCAAAGATTAGATTTGAAATTTTGGAGAAATTTGGCTTTATATGAACACTACCTAAAGGTTAGCCTAAAGAATCCAAGTTACTTTTCATAGGTAAAACAGGAGTTGCACAGAAGTCAGAAACTAAAGAGTCAACAATTTCTTCATATTTATCTGATCTAAGAAATAGGAATGCTGTTTCAACTCTTCCTCCGGTTAAACGTCTCAAGGTTAGTTCTAATACTATGTGTCCTTTTGCTCTGTAATTTAATGCATGTCAATATTATTTGTTCTATGTATTAACTAGGTATGTTTCCACAGTGTAGTTTTTTTTTTAAAATTTAATTGACATATAATGTTAGTACTGTCTATGGGATATAATGTGATGTTTTGATGCTTGTATGTATGGTGTTAATGGCTAATCAGGATAATTAGCATACCCATCACCTCAAACGTTCATCATTTCTTTGTGGTAAAAACATTAAAAGTCTTCTAGCTGTATAGAATACATTATTTTGAACTGTAGTCACCCTACTGAACAATAGGACTTATTTCTCCTAGCTCATTGTAACTTTGAAGCCATTGACCAACCTTTCTCGCATTCCCTGCTCCCCTCTCCTCTCCAGTCTGATAGCAACTATTCTACCCTACTTCTATGACATCAACTTTATTAGATTCCACATGAATATGATCATTTGTCTTTCTGTGTCTGGCTTATTTCATATAACATAATGTCTTCTAGATTCATCTATGTTAATATCAAATGAAATTATTTCTTCTACTTTTATGACTGAATAGTATTATAGTGTGTGTGTGTGTTTATCCTATCTATTTATCCTTTAATGTACTTAGGTTGATTCTGTATCTTCGCTATTGTGAATAGTCCTGCAGTAAATAAGGGGATGCGGATATCTTTTTGCCATACTGATTTAATTTCCTTGACTATATACCCAGTAGCAGGATTGCTGGATCACATGATAGATCTATTCTTAATTTTTGAGGAACTTCCATACTGTTTTTCACAATAGCTCTACTTATTCACATTTCCACCAACACTGTATAAGGATTCACTTTTCTTCACATCGTTGCTAATATTTGTTGTCTTTTGCCTTTTTTTATTTTGCTTTTGTTTTTGCCATAGGGGATCTGTGCTCACCAGAGAGAGAGAAAAAGAGAAAGTGAGAAATTGCCCCCTCAAAGGGGATGGCAATACCACAATCCCTTCTCTTCTATCCTCCTTTTGGGGTTTTAGGCACACATACATATGTGCCCAGCATATTTTTCAAGCTGCCAGGTTCAGGACTTGAACCACAAAGTCAGTCATGTGGGATACAGCACCTTAACCACCACTCTGCTTACTCCCCCCCCCTTTTTTTTTGCCTTTTTGATAATTATTCTGACAGGTGTGAGGTGATATTTCATTGTGGTTTTGATTGTGCTTCCCTGAAGATTAGAAATGTTGAATATGTTTTCACATATCTATTAGCCATTTGTTTGTCTTCTTTTGAGAAATGTGTATTCAAGTCTTTTGCTATTTTTTAATTGGATTGTATGCCATTTTGCTATTAATTTTTTGAGTTCCATATGTGGTCTGGATATTACTCTTTTGTGAGATGTATGGTATGCAAATATTTTCTCCCATTTGGTAAGTTGTCTCTTCACTCTGTTAGTGGTTTTGTTTTTGTATTGTTTGGTTGATGTTTTTGTTTGTTTGTGTGATGTGTGTGTGTGTGTGTGTGTGTGTGTGTGTGTGTTTGCTGTGCAGAAACCTTTTAGTTTGATGTAATCCCACTTGTCTATTTTTACCTGTGCTTTTCAGGTCTTATCCAAAAATATCTCTGACCAGACCAATGTCAGGAAGCATTTCCCCTGCTTTCTTCTCATAGATTCATGGTTTTGGGTCTTTAACTCATTGTGAGTTGACTTTTAAAAATACAGTGAGAAATAGGGGTCTAATTTGTTGATGTATAGTTATTCATAATAGTCTCTTATGATCCTTTGTATTTTGTGGTATCAGTTGTTTCTGATTCTGAATGTGGATATACAATTTCCTCAGCACCATTTGTTGAAGATACCTTTGTGTGTGTTTTGGCACTTTTGTCAAAAATAAGTTGACTGTAGATGTGTAGATTTATTTCTGGGCTCTCTTCTGTTCTACTGGTCTGTGCACCTGTTTTAATGCATGTACTGTACTATTTTGGTTACTACAGCTTTGTAGTATATTTTGAAGTAAAATAGAGTGTTGTTTCCAGCTTCGTTGTTTTTTCTCAAGGTTGCACTATTTCTCAGGTATCAGGAGGGATATAACTGCTTTAGGAGGCAAAGGTACTGCTTTCTCAGGAGGCAGGGTACCTCTTCAGTTCAGTACCAGGTGGAATGGCTTGTGACTGCTCTGGGTATTATACCCCTTCAGTTTATGGCCAGAGGGACAGGACACAACAGTAGCTGGAAGAATAGATGGGGCAGCTCCACATTGGCTTGGCCTCACGGAGAAGGGTGTAATAGTAACTCCATTTGGGGTTGGCACACTGCTAGGCAGGGGTGGTTCAGTAGGAGCTAAACCTCAGTAATACAAGAGTGTTATGGCCACTTATCCTAAGAGCAAATGTGCAGGCTACAAGGTACCGACCACAGTGTCAGTTCCTCTGGGGGAACACAGGTTCTGGACTCCAGGCAGCTTTATAAACTGGGCTTAGTGCCTGTGAGAACTATGGGAGGAATCCCCGGTTGTGAGAATATAGGTTCCCAAGACTTTGAGGGCTGTTGTAGTCTTCTTGCTTACCTTGTCCCCTCAAGGAAAAGTTGTTTCTACTTTTTTTTTTTTTTTGGAGAGGTTTTCGCTATAGGGCGCGTGCGCTCGCCAGAGAGAGAGAGAGAGACATAGAAACAGAAAGCGAGAAATCACCCCCCCCAGGGGGGATGGTCACACCGCAATCCCTTCTGCTCCATTCTCCTCTCGGGATCTTGGGCACGCACGCACATGCGCCCGGCGTGAGTTTTAAGCCACCGGGTCCGGGACGTGAACCACAGTCGACTACGTGGGAGTCCAGCGACATAGCCATTACGCTAACTGCTGGTTCCCAAAAAGTCGTGCACGTTGAGAGAGACAGAGAGAGAGAGAGAGGGACTCGATGCCGCAATCCTCCAGTCTCCATAGATTTTTGCCATAGGGCGGGCGCCACCACGCCCTAGTTGTTTCTACTTTTGAGGTGATCCCAAATGGGTAATAGGGTGGTAAAGCCAGGTGTTTCTTTTCTTTTTCTTTTTTTGTAGAGAGAATTTTGCTATAGGGCACACGTTCTTGCCAGAGAGACAGAAAGCAAGAAATTACACACACACACACCCCAGGAGGGATGGTCACACTGAAATCCCTTCTTCTCCATTCTTCTCTAGGGATCTTGGACACACATGCACATGTACACGGTGTGAGTTTTAAGCAGCTGGGTAATTTGAACCATGTGGGAGTCCAGTGACATAACCATTATGCCATCTACTGGTCCCTCCTTCCATTTTCTGTGTGGCCACACTAGGTTTCTGTGCTCTACAGGATTTCTACTACTCCTTTCATATACTCTGACACTGTCCTTTAGTCATTTTCACCAAAAGGTAGTGTTTTCTTTGTTGTTTTTTGAGGTTGTTTTTCCCCCATTGTTTTGACTGTCTTTGTCAAAAGAGTTGTGGGGAGAATGAGTGCTAAGGGCTTCTAGTTGACCATCTTGCTGACATCACCACTCATGGTTTACCTTAGAATTTCTTGTGGGCATCACTATGAATGTATGACAATTCTTCATAATCAATCTATACCTCTACTTTTAGAACAGAGTTATGCAGCCCATCCCTAATGAATTTTCATTTATTTGTTTGTTTTACCAGAGAAGAGGGAAAATGAGAGGGATATGTAGCTTGACTTGGTTCAGCAACTGAAACTAAACATTTTTGCTTTTTCCTGGATCCATCTCTGCTGGACTGGATGAAAAGTCTGAAATGGATTTTGGTTCTTTTTTGCACCTAGATAAGTACTGAACAGCAGCCTCCCTTTTGAGTGATGAAGCAATGGGAGTTCCTACTGGTCTATAAGCTAGACACTAGTAGACTTACCTGAAGCCTAAGTCATCATATCCTAGAAAAGCCTCTTTCTAAGACTTTTATAAGAATGAAGATTCTAAGTCGTGAGGGTAAAACAAGGGTAATGCTGGGAAAGAGGGGGAGGCCACTACCTTCTCTGAAGTGATCATTTTTTGGTGACATAAAAAATTATTCCCTCCTCCCCTCCCTTTCATCTTCTTTTTATTTCTTCTATGTTTTTTTCTTAATTTCATTGTGAATGAACACCAAGAATATGCCAGTGTGCTAAGATATGGTGATGAATAAGAATTTTATTTTCACTCTTCATAGAATGTAGAGCATAATGAAAGGGTACAAATAAGTAAACAAGCCCTTTTTTTAGAGAGAGAGAAAGAGTTTTGCTATAGGATGCATGTGCTCACTAAAGAGACAGAGAGATAGAAACAGAAAGTGAGAAGTTACTCCATGGGGGGATGGTCACACTGCGATCCCGTCTCCTCTTGGGATTTTGGGCACACATGTACATTCCCCTGACATGAGTTTTAAGCCACTGTGCCCGGGACTCAAACTGTGGTCAACTACATGGGAGTACAGCAACGTAACCATTACACCATCTGCTGGTCCCAAACAGGCCTTTTGTGGCCCTATAACGTAATGAGTGATTCTGTAACAGAAGAATAAGGCACTTGAATTTAGATAGAAAGTAACAATCAACATTTGATGGGCCAGGAAAGGATTCCTAATAGACGTGATTGAGATAAAAGGATAAGCTAAATACGGAAAGGCACCAGAATAGTTGTGAAAAGGGACAGAAAAATTTGAGACTATGCAAAAGTCCAGAGGTGAGAGAGAGAGATATCTTTAAAGAAACTGAAGTAATACAGTATATGTAGAGTAGCATTAGGAGTACAGAAGGAGAGAAGTAGGGAAA